TAATCAATGTATTGGATATGCATAGACTAACTTTGGGCGTCAATCATCCTTTTCTCAATTAGTAAATTTTCTAAAATAAATGTGAAACATGGAAAAAGAAATCAAAATAAAATTTCATGATTTGATGTCATACCCGCTCTCTTATTGTTGCTAAAAGTCCATCATTCCATTGTTCACCATCCAAATATATTTCTGCGCAACAAACAAAAAAGAGGGTGAAAAGCCACTTAACTTCCTAATCCTATCTAACTGCTCTTATTTATCTGATACCATGCAAAACTAACAAGTGAAAGTTAGTAAAGACAATCTCGGAAAACGTAACAGTGGAATATTACCTTGATTCTGAGATGCTCTAGCAGCTTCAAATTCTTTTTGTAAGCGCTCAAATATCATCTTGTCAGAGTCCCTATTGTTAAGTATTTATTATTAATATTTTAGAAATCACTAATATGGTGTAAAGCATGAAATAATAACCCATATGAGTGAAATAAATCTTAGTAAAAATAATATGGCTGACTTCATAGACATGTTGATCTCTAGCTAATATACACAGATAAACATATTCATCTTATCGGCCTATTCACAACCCACGTTAACGGAAGAAGGGACTCCACCACAAACAGAAGAACAGGAAAACTCACAGGGAAAAACACTTTTGATAATAAAAAAACAATGGATATTTGCAAGAAAAATTTGAATAGGGAGCACAAAATGCAGCATATGCATCAATTTACAAGTCAATAAATATATCATAAGTTGAGGGATAGCATGAAAAGAATCTAAGGAGCATCACTAAGCTTTTACTAAAAGGAAGAAGATATCAAAGTCTAGCTATGTTATTTCCATCCAAATTTCAATAATTCTAAAAATAAATAATCATAAATAAATAAACCCCCACAATGTTCAACTATTCACAATTAAGCTGAGGCAACCATAACTACTTCGAAGATAGCCCACCTGGAGAGACGCTCTGTCAATTCACTGTGCCTTTTGAGGACATTTGAAACTGCCAAAGAGCTACTAATTAGTGTAGCACTAAGTTGTAGAAACTAGAAACTTCGCTACTTAATTAAACAATAAAATTATGTAAATAAAAATTTAAAAAGAACAGGAGAAAATAAAGTACATCTTGCTCGTGTAGTCTCCAATCTAATATCTTCATCTTGCAGACCACTCTGTCACAGAGAAAGAGACATTAAAATAATTCAAGGAAATATTCAACCCATGACAACAATTTTACCCTGTCAAAAAAATGAAAAGGTGCAGAGAAGATAAACAAAACTCAGAACCAAATATCGTAAAAAGAAGAATGAACTTGCACCCAACATAAAAAATAAAAATAATAATAAGACAATCAAGAATTAGAAAATAACTATATATAGATGACATAACTAAAAAGAATGGCCCCAACCCATATAAATTTAAAACATATTTAGTAGGACAAACATTTTCATAATACAACTAAACAACACAGCAAACAACAAGTTATGAACATAGGATCACAATATAGATATTGGCCAACAACCTTCATAGTATGTGCAATTCAAGTTAGCCAAGGGCTTCACGTACACATAGATGTAAGAAAAGAATAAAAAAGAACAAAGTGCATGTTGCCTCAACAACTCTAAGACAATACTAATGTGAGGTTAGTGCATCAGATATGGATTAGTCTCAACAAGCTTAAAGCAGCAAAATTGTTGACGTTGCATATTGCTCCCCCTTCTAAATGGTTAGGGTGCTTCCCCTTATAACCCAATTTTTGTGGCATAAGATTGAATGAACTAGCATGGCGGCCTTCTTCCACAAGTCCTTTAATCTTATTACCGGTGGACTTACAGAAATCCCCTAAAAACCAAAAACCAAAAAAAAAAAAAGACTATAAACAACAAAAATGCTCATCATAAAATAACTCCTCAACTACACCAAATTTTCTTCAGTTTTTCCTTCCATGTAAGTTCAGCACCTGTCATCTACAATTGAACACCTAATTACAAATAAAATAATAAAAGGAAGATGCATGGCACTAGTATTCTTAATATTGATCCACAAATCTCTAATGCAAAGAAGCATAGATATTCTCATACACAACATGACACCAAGACATGGACATGGCAATGATGCTAAATATTTTTCTTTAAATATAATTCATTTTCATACTAGAAGGAAATTCAAAGACAATAAGTTTATGCACTATATGCTTAAAAAATGGGTTTGATGTATTACGCCTTCAAATTTTATCATTGTTGTCCTATATCACTATAATACTAAATATGTCTACTTATTAGACTTAATAAGTGTTTAATACATGTCAAACAAGTATTATCATATTAAAGCTTTGCACCTAGTGCTTTGGGTTAACAAAAAATCCAATACATGTCCCACAAATATTGGACAGTCCGACATATGTTAAACACATACATATTACCCAAACTAATATATTAGTGGTCCTTAGCTCTAATGTCGGCATAACTAATTCATTAGAAATAGCCACATTTGCTCTCATTAGCCAGAAAACAATTATGTAACAGTATGCATTGTACCTAGACAAGAAATTAGTACCAAGAAAAATGGAGCTTTGTATGGCACTTCTGAAGATCCAGAGAGGTGAAAATAACTGCATGGATCTCTACTTACATTTACAACAACAGGAGGGTAGTTCTAAGAGAAAAGCTTCAGTTCCAGTCTAAAAGACTCAGTGTTTTACTTCATTGTTTATTCTGAAGAAAATTTGCAACTGTCTAATCAAATAACCACAACTCTACAAACAGCACTGCAAACTAAGTGTCGTTAGTTTGAATTCCTTTAACCGTGTTTCAATTGGTGGTTTTTCATGATGCCTTAAGGTAATTTTAATCGTTCAACTATACATCTTAAATGCTTTCGATTTATTGCCGCTCAACCTTTACAAACTACAGCATAGAAACAATGAGCCAAAAAGGACATTGCCGAGCATGAAATTGAAGATAATAATTAACAAACAAGCTGAGAAACCATAGCTAATTAACTCCTATAAGCAAGATGACTACACTTTCGCAGATTACTTACTACTGTCGTCCCCTGGAAAATCGCAGCCTGATCCTAAAGCTAAAACGACGAAATCATTAAATAATCTATAAGCATTGAGAATTATCCTATATTTACCATCAAACCGTGTCCAACTCATATAAATCACCACAACACTTACTGAACGTCTAATCCTAATTCCTACCGCCTCATGAAGAAATCAGAATCAACAAGAATTAGACTCTCGCAACGCCAGATTCCATCCAAAAACCTAATCTCTCAATGTCTACTTCATAGACGTAGTTTCGGAGTCGTCTCGTTATCAAATGAACAAATAATAAACACAGATGCCGTAAACATACCTTGCGAGAAGATTCGCCAGGGTGTGGATTCCTTCTCACTTTCTTCTTGATTGATTCTTCGATGTCGCTCTCCATTTCTCAAATCCGTAACAAAATCGCGACGAAACCGAGAAGAAAACAAAAAAAAAAAAAAAAAAAAAAA